TGCGTTCAAAAGATCCCTAGCTAAAGGATTCCAATTGTCTATTACCCTCAAGTCAAATAAATTTGATCTTGCCACCGTTTTCATGTTTTGCTTCACAAACTTACGTGTAAGTGACCATGGATCCTGCTGTTATTTTTAGAGTGGTGTTTGCCCTGTAAAAGGCTCGAGAGCTACTCGAGTTAGAGGGGTACACAGTAAGAGTGACAGCTCATGTGAATATGTGTGGAAGATAACGGGCAACTCTAGATTTGAACAAGGTAAGATTGTAGCGATCGAGGAAGCAACCTCTTGGGAGTCGGTTCCCCAAAGCAGTGGTTTGTGAGAAGAAGCTGTGTGAACATCTCATCAGGGAAGTATGAAAGGAATGGGGATGGTATAGCGTGTCTTAGCTGTGTCGGTTAGGCTTGGTGGAACGAAGGAGTTTAGTTCATCTGAACACTCTCCATGGAACTAGCGATAGAACAGCGAGACGCTTGCGATGTCTCGTTTGTGAGAAAGAGGTTATAGTGGAAAATAATTTGTCAACTGCAAGGACAAGGAGACGATTTTGAACTCTATCGACAGTGGAAAGTGAAGACTGAGCAGCGCCTGCTCATATATGGCAGGAGTATACCAGTTTTAGCCTGAACTGGCTCTTGTAAACGTAGAGGATAGCGAGAGGTGTGAGGTAATTTCTTTAGAAGTATAGGGAACCGCCCATTCTCCCAGAATCTTTAATGATGGATCGTATATACGAGTTCCACTTGAGATCTGGGCTGAATTTAAGTCCCAAGAGGCGCTCAAGGCAGGGGGGCTTCCCTGAAGGATTACTCATCGTGATTAGTGAAAGTTATGGATCCGATTGGTGATAGTGGACTATAACTAGTATCTTTCGAACAAAGCAGATTTTTTTCCCGCAGTAGGTTGCCATTTCTTTCTACAATAGACCAGTTTCCATCCAAAGATATAGAACACGGTCTGTCCTGCTTTTACGCATACCTGGGCGGCGTGGGGGTGAAGAAGAGGATTTATACCTTTCCCAAGGGTTTTTTAGCACGTAAGTGAATGTAATGGATTCGACTGGAATTCGAACTCGGCTCTCCGATTCGTCAATCCGAGCTGCGGTCCATGTAGACAGTAAGTATTCATCAAAATGCGTTGGATTGAAAAAAAAACTGACGACTGACTGTCCCCAAAAAATTTCGCTTGAAGATGGAACAGAGATTAGTACTTTAATTCAATTTAATTCAAATAATTATCTTGAACTTTTCGGCTCTTTTTTTGAAACATGAGAACCCTTATGTAGCGTTGGAATCATATTTTTAAATAAATAATAAAAATCTTGGTAATCAGTATGGATAATCCCAAAGAGGATGAAATCCGGAGAACTCACTGTTAAGTCAGAGCGAATAATTTAATTTAAAGAAAAACCAGACCACTTTAAGGTTCCGTTAGTTATAATTTATTTCACCAGAGAATTTTATTTTTCTCTGGATCTTCAGACTTCACTTTCAAAGTTGAAAAATGAATTTAAAATTTACACTTTTATATATATAAATTACACAAAATAAATAGACAAAACTTGACTATATTATTTAATGAAACATGCATCAATGAACTATGCTGTCTAAATACCTACACACAATATATATATATATATATATATATATATATATATATATATATATATATATATATATATATATATATATATATATATATATATATATATATATATATATAATTGTTACACCATTGCCGAGGTGCCGTGGTGTAATGGTTAGCAAGTTTGTCTTGCTATAACAATTATGATTGAGTAGTTAGTTCCATCCTCACTGAGTGACCCATACTTTTTGGCCTTGTGCCACGTCTAAGCTAATATATATGTGTGCGGTGGATAAATTGTTGTGTAAATAAACGAAAAAATTAAAATAATACCGAGAATAAATTTATTCAGTAAAATCGCCATTGGCTTCAATCCCGGTCTCCAGCCGATTTCAGAATCTTCTGCAACTCTTCTGGACGGTCTCCTTGTTTAAGTTGGTGAATGCTGCCATAATCCTTGACTTCAGTTCATTTTTGTTGCTCTCTCGGTCAACTGCGTCCCACACATAATAATCAAGCAAAGAGGTGTTAGATGGTCAGATGTAAGGGGATGATGTGGTCGCAGAAAATGTCTCAAAATCATGACTGAGTTCTCTTGCTTATGTATCATGGTGAAGAGTCTTGTTGCCATGTAGGTCCCCCTGTTGAACCTGAGACTTTCATCAACAATTTCGGGAGTTCTTGTCTTATAAGAATGATCAGAGTGAGTTTTCCGAGCTGCTGTACCTTCGTAATCTCCATTAGACTTTATTTCCGAATCCTCTGCACCGTCCTCAGATTGACCCCGCCCTCACAAACACTCTGAAATATTTGTATTGGAGCTTCCGGTGCGAATGCCAAGCAGTATAGCATGCCCTTTCCAAATTTCTGCCGGAGTGAATTGCGTTACGGCGCTTTTTTTCCTTACAGACTGTGCCTAACTAACCCTACTATACTGTACATTCAACAAATTCAAATGCTCGAAATTAAAAATGGTGAAAATTTACCCATCGTAGCCTGTATATATGTGTGCATGTGTGTGTGTGTGTGTGTGTGTGTGTGTGTGTGCATATGTGTGTGTGCATGTTTGTGTGTGTGTATGCATATGTGTGTGTGCATGTGTGTGTGTGTGTGTGCATGTTTGTGTGTGTGTGCATGCTTGTGTGTGTGTGTGCATATGTGTGTGTGCATGTGTGTGTACATGTTTGTGTGTGTGTGTGTTCCTCTTGACTTTTAACCATTTTATTACCTTTTCTTCTTTTTTGTAATTCTGGTTAGATATTCTTTCTTTTCTGTACATCTCTCTCCACCCATCATTTTCTCTCTCTCTCTCTCTCTCTCTCCCCCTCTCTCTCTCTATTTGTTTATTTCTCTTTTAGTCTATCTATCTATCTATCTATCTATCTATCTATATATATATATATATATATATATATATATATATATACAGTGAGGGAAATAAATATTCGTAGACATGAAAAAATGTATTTTTATAAATGTAGAATCCTTAGCTAAAACAAATTTTGATACATTTTATGTGTAAAGATACATTTTATTAAGAAATAGTAATAAACTTAAATAATTCTTATTCTAACAGAACTCAATGCATTTTTTTCATTTTAACTGATGAAAAAAGTATTCGTACAAAACAAAAAATGCATATTAACTTAATTTAATACTTTGTGGAATATCCTTTATTGAGTTCAACAGCTACCAGTCTATTCCTGTACGTCTCAACTAATGAGTAGCACACATTGAGTGGTATTTTGTCCCATTCTTCTTGGTATATTGTCTTCAAATTCTTGATATTTGTTGGTGCTCTTTTCCCAATTTGAATTTTCAAATATCGCCATAAATTCTCGAGCACTAGGGACTGACTTGGCCATTGCAAGACATCAACGTTACTTTCAGCTAACCATTTCCTTGTAGATCTAGCGGTATGCTTAGGATCATTATCCAGTTGGAAAACCCAATAAATCAATCAATCAATATATATATATATATATATATATATATATATATATATATATACGTGTCTCTTTAATTATTCTCACATTATTATATCTCCCTTTTGTTTCTCTGTTTTTCACTTTCTTTGTTCTATACCTCTCTTCCCCAGCTGATTCATTTTTCTATAGTTCTCTCCCCCTTACCATTCTGTCTGTCTGTCTGTCTGTCTGTCTCTCTCTCTCTCTCTCTCTATATATATATATATATATATATATATATATATATACACACACGTGTCTCCTCTTATCTCTTTAACTATTCTCACATCTCACATTATTACATCTCCCTTTTGTTTCTCTTTTTTCACTTTCTTTTTTCTTTAACTTTTTGTTCTGTACCTCTTTTCCCCAGTATATTTCTTTTCTATAGTTCTCTCCCTTACCATTTTCTATCTCTCTCTCTCTCTATATATATATATATATATATATATATATATATATATATATATATATATATTCTTCTATCTCTATTTCCATTTGTCTCCTTGTTTCTGAGACTTTATTTCATATCTGTCATGAAATATGAATGTGGTATGAAGGGCATTTCTGTCACTGCAGATTTTATTATATTCTTCTTTACAACAGTCCGTATCGAGTTCTTTTTTTTGTTTCGTTTTTTTTTTTTGTTTTTGTTTTTTGGTTTGTTTTTTATCAAATGAAAATATCCGGCGCATTTCTGTTACCTTTTATTATTCTAAATGGCATCGAGGCAAGGACACAGGTCCAGCAAAATTCTAGAAACGGATAATTTGAAAAGCAATTAGAAATTTAAGACCTTGTGAGACCGGTAACGTCGTGGGGAGGGCAGTGAATAGGCCTGTCCAATGAAACAATATATCAATTGCAGATACCTGAGACAAAGCACGTCGTGTAAGGGAACACGTTCGTCGAAGCGAAGAAATTTAAATACTTAATAAATGAAGAATCGTCTTGCTTCGTAATTATCTGCAGAGTAGAGAGTGTATTAGAGAGACAGAGAGAGTGAGAGAGTGAGACGAAAAGAGAGTACACGAATACTTTGAATGTTTAATTCGTAATAGGAAAAACGATATTTGCATTGTTCGTTTTTAATTGTGTTTATTTTTTTCATTGTGCGAGATCAAAGTCTATTCTGTTTATTCATCCTATAAATTGTCTTCTATGGTTTAATTTAAAAAAAACAAAAAACAGAAAAAACTATAGTCCCTATGATACCATTTTCCAAACTTTTCTCCAAGCACTTAATAAAGTGTCCTCAATAGTTTTGTTTTTGTTTTTTTAAGTGAGTCATACACTTTGTTTGATAGATACATTCATATATATATATATATATATATATATATATATATATATATATATATGTATGTATATATATATATATATATATAGAGAGAGAGAGAGAGAGAGTGATGCGGGAGATAGAGAAAAGAGGTAAGAGAAGGAAGAGACAGATGAACAAATTTATATATAGAGAGAGGAATATGAAGAAACTTAGATAGATAGATAGATAGATAGATAGATAGAATGGCAGGCATAGATAGATAGATAGATAGATAGATAGATAGATAGATAGATGTGAACATACAAAGATAGGGAAGAGAGAGAAGAGAAGGAAGAAACAGATGAACAAATTCATATAGAAAGAGGTATATGAAGAAACTTAGATAGATAGATAGATAGATAGATAGATGATGAACAGACTGACTTATATATATAGAGAGAGAGAGCAAGAGATAGATAGATAGATAGATAGATAGATAGATAGATAGATAGATAGGGGTTACTGTGTGTTTTAGAATATAAGAAAAGCACTATTGATGAAGGTTCATTGTTTTTTGTTGTTTTTTTTTTGTTGTTTTTTTTGTTTGGCAGTCTAACAACACCTCTATGGGTTATTAAATCTCGAAATCTAAATATTCTTACGCAATTTTGTTTATTTATTTATTTATTTAAATAATGATGGTTTAAGGCATAATAATGGTTTAAGTTTTACTACTTAACCCATAGCTGGAGAAGAAGTGTTCGATTCATATCTTTCCCAAGAATTAACTGAATATAACGAACTTAAGCGGAATTCGAACTTGGCTCTCTGATTAACTGCTATGGGTCCTTACTTATAACTACAGAATGAACTCTTCCTAACACTATGTATACTACGCCTCTCAAGAGAGAGGGTTGAATCGAGTTGAGCCGTTTCGGCTTGACGGTCGAACTCTCTGCGTCTGAGCAGAGAGGAACCCGGACGAGGCTCCGCCGAAGGGCAGAGTCTCGTTCGGGGAGGTTGACCAACCCGATCCCGTTTATACGGGTTCTACGGGCATTTTTTGCCCGAGCCTACGGGCTCGGAAAGCCCACGTAAAACTCGACCTTCTGCCACATCTGTCCCTCGTGGAGGGAGCAAGTAAATATCGAATCGAGTCGAGCCGATAGTAGTTCACTCCAAACCAAACTGACAGTCATACTAACACTTGTATTATTATTTCGTGTAATATACCTTTGTTGTTTCTACTCTTGTGTTTGTGTTGTTCTTCCTTGGTCCTAACCTGGACCATAACATTAACCATTCGGAATCATTATCCATTAAACCGCCCGCGCATCCAACCATACAGCACCTAATATTCCCAAGCGCTCACCCATCTTCGTACTGACCAGGATCAACATTGCTTAACTTCGATGATCGTACGGGAACCGGTTTTTCAGCGTGATGTGGCGGTAAGCACACTATTAAGGAGAGGGAACAATAAAAGAACAGGAATTAAGAAGACAGAAGATAACAATTGACATTGCATTTAAATTTTTGAAGATCAAGGTTGACTGAGAAGAAAGAATCTGGATGAGAATTTCACAAACGAGAAGAGCGAAAGAAGAAACTATTAACATGGAACTTACGGTGGCATCTAACCATTTCAGTGGTAAAAAATACGCTACGGCAATGGGAAAGTGGCCGTAGCCGAGCGGCTAGGCCAGGACCAATAAAATTGCTGATTATTCTTTGTATTTTACCAAGAGACTCTAAATATACAACAAGAGCACCAGACCAGGTGTGGCAACAATATTCAAAGCAAGGACAGATGGTAGACTTATAATTATGCCAGGTAAAATCTGGTAAGAAAAATTGTCTAGCCCAACACAGGTAGCCGACTTTCCTAGCAACGGATTCAATATAATCTTAACACCTCAACGGAAAACTTTAGTTCGAGAAGACGCAAGGATCATTCTCCTGGAGGTTAGTAATAGCCATGCTGATGAAGTATAAAAACTCTTCTCTCAGACGATTAACAGAAAGCAGTTTTGTTTTGGGGACGCTAAAATTAACAAGCCATTCATCATCCCGTTTAACAACAAAATGTAGGTCATTTTTTACATCAGCTGCCAATTTGACCCTATCGAGCCGATCATACTTACTATTAAGATAGGAATAAATATTTGTGTTATCAGCATCGAAACTGAATTGAGAACTGATGACATATTATTCTCCTGGGGGTTAGCATCAGACACACTGATGGAAAAGAAAACAGTTTCGTTTTGTAAGTGTTAAAATTAACAAGCCATTCATTGCCCCGTTTAATAACAGATTGTAGATTATTTTTGAGATCAGCTGCCAATTTGACCCTATCGAGCCGATCACACTATTAAGACAGGAGTAACTATTTGTGCTATCAGCATAGATACCGAGTTGAGAACTGATGACATCAGGATGGTCGTTAATGAAAATCAGGAACGTGGATCCAAGGGTTGAACCCTGGGGAATACATAATTCATAAAGATCTAATAAGATCTAAAACTGTAGTCATTCAGGACAAATTTCATGTTGCGATTTGACTGAATGAGTTCAAAAATATGTCTAGAATTACAATAACCTTTCAACTTGTGAAGATGACCAGTATGCGAAATCCTTTCAAATACCTTCTCTATATCCAAAGCAACAGCTCAAACGTCCCCATTCTTATCTAAAGCTTGATAGACTCTTTCCGTAATCACCGTTAACACATCAGCGGTGGACCTAGAAAAGTGAAAGCTATATTGTTTGTCTAAAAGAAGACTACACAAGGTGTGATGCTTAAACGATTCGAAGCTGATTAGGGCCTCGAGTAATTTACCAAAATGCGGTAAAATGTTAATAGGTGGATAGTTCGAGGGGTCAGACGATTCACCTGAGTTCTTAAAGACTGGGAGAAGGATTTCCAACGAGCACGAATGTAAGAGGCTTTCGGGCATTTATAGTACAGTTTAGAAGGAACAAAAACCAGTTCGGGGGCACATTTTTAAGGACAATTACAGGGATACCGTCAGGTCTACATGCCTTGTGGGGATCCAGATAAGAGATGGTAGCAAAAACCCATGGAAGGTGTCATATGCACATAATTCAACAGACACTCAGTTCTAAATGGAAAATCAAACAGGGACGTTGCAGATGAATCAAGAGTAGAATTTGCTTAGTTTGTATTAGCATATATATATATATATATATATATATATATATATATATATATATATATATATCAAAACGAAGATCAAGAATGAGTCTGTTCACGTCGATTACAGGCACGTTTGTGACTGATAAGGCCTATGCGAGACAGGCATACACGATTGCAGCAGTTGCTGTCGAATGTCTGACCTGACCTAGACCCGATGGCATAGCATTATTTCTTCCTCTGCCTTTTGTCTCGGACCTGCGGGTATTTTCAAAGAAGACAGCACGGTTGTTGTTGAAAAGCCGGATGTCACGGTTCTCAGCTCGGGTTGACCATTGGCAATGGTCTGTATGACAGGCACGAAAGGATTTTTCAGGCAGTATTTGAATCGCTTCTTTGGTGACTCTCTACCGCCAGTGGAGAGCTCGCCGTACAGTAAAAATTTAAGCAAGCAAAGATTTCCCATCCTGTAAACGTGCCCAGCCCAGCGTAGCTGGGACTTCAGCAATATGACACCGATGCTGATGATTTTCGCCTTTTCAAAGAATTCATTATTGGTGACGAAGTCACTCCAGTGAATGTTAAGCATTGTGCGGAGGCAGCACCGATAGAACCGTTCGAGGAGTCGTAAGTGGTGTCGGTAAGTGACCCATGACTCTGAGCTGGATAGCAGAATGGCGAGGACGCTATGTCTATACACTCTGAACTTAGTACCCATCTCTGCAAAGCAGGATGTGGTGTACTTCCTCCTCTGCCTCTTGTCCCTGAGAGTAACCCTGCATATATTTTTACAAAAGGAGACAGCATTGTTGGTGGTCAGACGCTAGGCGTCACGGTTCTCAGCTTGGTAGATAGGACTTCATCAGTACGACCTCAATGCTGGTGATCTTCGCCTATTCAATATTGGTAACGAAGTCACTCCAGTGAATGTTAAGGATTTTGCGGAGCCACCGCCGGTGGAACCGTTCGAGGAGTCATAGGTGGTACCGATAAGTGACCCACGAATCTGAGCCATATAGAACAGTGGCCAGGACGATAGTTCTATAAACTCTGGACTTTGTACCTTTCTTCAGGTATCTGTTTACAACACACATTTGTATAGTCTGGCAAATGCAATGCTCGTCCTTGCCAGTTCGTTGTCGATCTCCTTGTCGATCTCAGTATCTGACGTGATGGTATATCCAAGGTAGGTAAGCCGATGGACCACCTTCAGCTCAGTCGCGGCAATGATGATGTGGGGAGGGCGGTACACATTGCGAGACGAAGGTTGGTAGAATACCTTTGTCTTCCTCAAATTGACTTCAAGCCCCCCAAAATTGGCCAGCCTCTGTGAAGCTGGAAGTGATGCGCTGCAAAGTTCCTTCTGTGTGGGAACAAGAGCAGCATCGTAGTCAAAGCAGAGGTTTGGGATACTCATTGTAGATTAAACAAGGCACCATCGAGACAGTATCTGATGTAGACTCCGTCCCAATCATCAAGATCTTTCATGGCTTATTTGAGCATCATACTGAATAAAGATGTTGAAGAGAGTTGGTGCCAGACCGCAACCTTATTTTACACCGTAAGTGATCGGGAAGGGCTCTGAGGGGTCACTGCTGTGTTTAATTTGACCACGGTGACCCTCATGAAGCTGGATGATCACGTTCAGGAATTCTGCAATTATCTGCCACATTGCTCTTCTACTCACGGTGTCAAATGCTTTTGTCAGATCAATGAACGCCATATACAGTTCCTTGTTTTGTTACCGACACATCTACGACAGCTGCCGGAGAACAAACACTATTTCTGTTGAGGCGCCTGTTGGTTCTGAAGCCGCACTGACTCTCTAGAATGTGCTCTTCAGCGATGGCGGATAACTGTCTGTTCAACAGAATCCCGGCAAGGATTTTTCCTGCGATGGAGAGCAGGGTAATTTCTCGTTAATTGGAGCATTAAGATTTTTTCCCTTTTGTTTTTGTACAGGGTAATGATGACTGATTGTGGAGATCTTGTGGTATTTTTCCTTGCTCCCAGCAACATCAAAAGAGCTCGTGAATTTTCATTTACAACACAGGACGACGCATATGTTTCCAGATTTCGAGTGGGACTCCATCGACTCTGCCTTGACACACTTCATCTGCTTCATGACGGGCAATTCATCATTTTTACTGGTTGTTGGGGAATGCGGAGAATTGCTGCTTCCAGAATCGAGCGATTAGCCCTGAAGAGGACATAGATATGCTCCGACCGATGGTTTAGGATAAACGCCTTGTTTGGAAGGAAGGTCTGACTGTCTGAGGAGCGCAAACTCACATCAATGTATCTATCTATCTATCTATCTATCTATCTATCTATCTATCTATCTCAGTCTTCACATCTATTTATTTATCTATCTATCTATGCATGTCACAACAGTATATATATATATATATATATATATATATATATATATATATATATCGTCAAACAATTCGCAAAAGTGCGTGAAACCTATGATCACAAACTCCCATCAACAAAACTATATATATATATATATATATATATATATATATTTCAAATTTATAACATATACATGTTATAAGATCACTACAAAAGTTGCCGTTTTGTTTCAATACTGCTGGAGTCTTATCAAGTGATGATATTGAATGGAAAACAAACGATTTTATGAGTTCAAAAGTGTTATGGCCCGGTTCTTTGTACCACGGTGACAGTCCAAGGTAGAACCAATAATGAAGAACTCGAACACGGATATGGAATAACAACGATATATTACAAACAGGAATATATACAGAGAAGTAGAAGTGTTTGTACGAACAATCAGGTTTAGTAGTAATTGTCTGTTTCGGACTGCCTCTGACTCGACTGACTAACTCGCTCGCTCTGACTGACTGACAGACTTCTGACGGACTTCACTCCAACTTTAGACTGAACAGTATTTAGTCACCCCCACGAGGGCATCATGTGGTAGAAGACCGGTTTAACGTGGGATCACCGAGCCCGTGGGCTCGGCCAAAAATATGCCCTTTGAACCCGTATAAACGGGTTCAGGGTCGGTTTACCTCCCCGAAAGAGCTCGTTCGGGTTCCTCCCCGCCCGAAGGCAGAGAGTTCAACCGATCAGCCGATCAGCCGGTCGCCCGACTTCGGATTGAACTCCCTGCTTCCTCTTGAGGCGCAGTATTTATTACGTATGGAATAATCCATTACGTTATTATGGGTAAGGTCCCCTAACAAAAAGACAATCAAAACCCTTTCAATAGGGGAAAATTTGTTACGTGACCCATGATGATCAATCAGAATACAAGTACATGGTAATTAAAATAATATCACAATATACTCTTGTATCAATACTATTAGTGCATTAAAGTTCAGATTAGACTAAATTAGAAATCAATATAAGAATTAAATTTAAAAAAACAGTTGAATTTAAAATTAAAAATTCAAATTTCAAATCCTAAAGTTAACCAAGCATCAAGTTTAATAATATTTTAAGATCATCCAGATATGAAACTAGGAGAAAAAATATATATAAGTTATCATTGTTCGGAAAGGGCCAATTTATCAGCGTAGTTAGAAGCTGATTAAAAATGTATCACCGATCGCTACACCTATTTGATATGTGGGAGTCAGAATTCAAATAAAGTCACAGGGAGAGAAGGGAATTTTCAAATGAAATGACAAACACATTCACATAATAATACAGAAATACTTACGCATAAGTAAATGGAGATAAATATATGAGCACGCAAATATAGGGAAGTATATTCACACAGGAAATAGAAGAATGAAAAATATGAAAAAAAAAGAAAAAGAATAAAAATGAAGACAAACACATATAGAAAAACTCGCAAAAGAAAATTTTGCCAGACATATACATATATATATATATACAGGTAGAAAACAAGCAATCACGCACACATACAAATATACGAATAATCGGACTCATCAAACTCCTAGCATAAACGCACTAATAAATCCACACAAATCAACCGACAATATTTATACATACACAAACATACATATAGGTATAAAAAGGATCAAATAAAAAAGGAAGTGTGTATACGATGCATATATATATATATATACGTACCTGGAATACACATATCAGTTATAAACAAAAAGCAAAGAAAAAAAGACATATATATACATATAGACACACACACACACACACATATATATATACACATACACACACGTACGCATAAATATACATAAATATTATTTTCATGTGCGCCAACCCTTTACTCATATATATATATATATATATATATATATATATATATATATATATATATATATATATATATATATATATAGAGAGTATAAGTTGTTCCAACCAGAGAAAACTGTATATTTTAAAAAGAAGGCAAACCGAAAACGTTTTCGTTGAAATGAGATTTTCTTTTTATTTTAAAATATATATTATACTCTATTTTCCGTAATTCTGCTACACGCGTTTCTTGTTTCGCCACCTTCTTCATATAAACTCTTATCACCTGTCCAAGACATTTGAATCACTACCACGCAAAAAATTCATTTTTATATGTGGAAATAATATATTTAAAACATACATACATACATATATATATATATATATATATATATATATATATATATATATATATATATGTTACAGTTTTGGGGATATAACGTTGTACTGGTGAGCCAGTCAAAATGAGCTGACTCATTTTATAGTTCACCAATAGAAGGGTTAACCAATCAGAAAGCTCAAAATATTCAATGCGACGTGTATAAAGGCAGCCATTTTTTTCTCCCAAATTGTCTGCACTGCCAACCTGATATCGAAGACTTAAAGAATTACTTAACAACCGCTACTTTCTCTGAATCTTCACTGCCGACCTCTGATATTGAAGAGATTACAGACTTCACTAGATTCCATATTCAGAGACTACGGCAAACATTGTCAACAATAGATAGATAGATAGATAGATAGATAGATAGATAGATAGATAGATAGATATTTATTGATTGATTTCTACATTCAATACATTAGATACATGAGTTTCTAAATAAGTTAAATCTTAACATCCCTGAAATAACCTCAACATCTCAAAATATCAAATTTGTCTAAATTAATTAAATCAATTTCAAAAAAAGTTATTTTTGGCATCGCTTAAAAATATAACGGAACTTTTTATTTTGAGTTTAATTTGTATGATTGAATTTAAATTGAAGTTTCAGTTTTGAAACGAGAATTTCAGTGTTGCAATGATAATATATCTTAAAAAACAATTATAATATTATGCTCTACTAATGTATCTAGCACTGTTTTATTTTTAAAATGCGAAGAACTCTGAATTTTAATATATATATATATATTAATTATTTTAATATATATATATATATATTAAAATAATATGAAAGAACAATGAGATTTATAATTCAGAGTTCTTCGCATTTATAAAAAAAACAGTGCTCGATACATTAGTAGAGCATAATATTATAATTGTTTTTTAATTGTTTATATATATATATATATATATATATATATATATATAGACGAACACAAAAACAGAGAATATCTCATATCGGGTATATATAACATTGAACATAAGGAAAAATTAATTATTTTTAATAATATGTGGAAATCTCCGCTTTTACCTGAAGACGGTCGCGAGACCAGAAACACGTGTCGTAAAATTATGTAAAACAAAGCATAATATTTTTTTCTAAATAAATCCACATTACAACCAAAACCGTTTGCGGCACCTCTCTTCTCTTCTTTTTAATACACATACTTTTCTCTCGTTGGAACCACTACAACCTCTTTCTTATATATATATATAATCTAGAGATCATAACTAAAAATAACGCTTCATATACACATTTCATAGACAACTACCCAACCAATATAAATATGCAATCTCGAGGCCATTACTATAAGTAAGGTCTGGACCAAAACAAAAGAATATGAGAAAGGAATGTTCACTATTCCTCCACCCTTCCCATAATCTTCTAGATATATACATACGCAGTACTCTACATGCAACCCGCTAAAGAAGTAATGGCACTCCGGATGAAGATATAAAATATATAATATATATAATAAATATATATATATAATAAAATATAAATATAAGATAGATATATAAAAATAATATATACAAAATATAATATAATATATATATATATAATATATAATATATTATATAATATATAATATATTATATATGATATATATATATATAATATATAATTATATATATAATAGTATAATAATATAATAATAATAATAATGGTAAATAATAAATATTTATTGAAGACGATGTACATACATTGATAATTTTGTAATGTTTTATAAATTTTTGAATAAAAAATTCTTTTCAAATCTATTTCTTTATAAAATGGTAAATAATAATTTTTTAAAAAAGGTAAACAATAAATATCGCATTGTATTTGCTTCACATATTTTCATAATTTTGTAAAATAAACATTGCCGAGGGAATCAAAAGTGTATACAGTAATAGCGGTGTCAAGGGAATAACCGTCCTTTTTGACACACCGTTTTTTGCGGGAAAGAAAGTTAAACATTTCCGAAGGATTGTCTTTTTAAACGCTTCATTCGCCAATTATTGATCTGAGAAAATGATTGACACAAGGACACACGGACTGGGATAAAAGTGAAAAACGATTGCTAATCGCAAATCCATGAAGCGTCACCTAATCCATAGCAACTAGGTTATGCTGACTATTAAGACAAGGTCACAAGTGAAAGGCACCCAATGAGGATCAAATTGCCCACGTTAATTACGTCTTGCAAAACTAGCTCTCTAAACAAAGCTCTAAGAAGCAATTAGTGAGATTCGATTTTTTTACTGTTTCTTTTAACTGTTTACCCAATACAAATCTCAAGAGGCACCCAAGGTAGAGCGTTACTAAATATGGTTATTTTATCGACATAATAACAGCAGGTAAGAAATGTAAATTATGAGGATATGTAGAATGGACATATCGAGAAACTGTTAGAAAATAATTGTTTGAAAAACATTTATTCGAAAAATATTTCTTCGAATTGTAAATTGTTTGAATAAAAATTAATCAAAAGGACAATTATACTAAATGATAATTATTTGAAACTAGCAGCATGCCCCGGTGTTGCTCGTGCTTGATTCAAAAATCGTACGACTCATACAACAATCCCTACACTTAACTTAAAATGCTAGTTAACATTCGTGTCAGTCAGCTGTTGGCGCTCACGCTGGCCAATAGAATCTTCCTGCCTATTCGTGGCAGCCACCTATAGGCTCTCACGCTGGCCAATAGAATCTTCCTGCCTATTCGTGGCAGCCAGCTATAGGCTCTCACTCTGGCCAGTAGAAAATGGCCGCAAACTACATAAAAACTGTCGTAGAAGCATGAAAAAATCGATTATTTCCACTATCGATGGGTGTTGGGAAATGCAAAGTCGGTCTTGGCCTTCCCACTAACTTGGAGCATGTGCATGTAAATTTTGGTATAAATCCGTCGAAAATTGCGGCCGTGCATTCGTCACACACACACACACACACACACACACACACACACACACACACACACACACACACACACACACACATATCCTGTCTTTTATAGATAGAGATACCTATGTTTGAAATATGGATATGGTCTTGTTTTGTGAGAGTCAATGCTGATTTACCTGGAACTAATAACGCCCTTGAAGGATAGCATAGGGCTTTTTTTTTTGTTGCAAGTGTCATCCCATCATTCCACAATATGGAAATTCTTAGACGCTCGTAAAAGAGAACAGGACTTGTAAGGAATTCATAATTCAAAAGTAAGAGCAGGTTGCCAAAATATCTCTAAGAAATACCACGACTTAAATGGCAAACTTAAAAAATTAGTGGCATCCTTTAACAAGTCCTCTTCAGTAGTTGACTCTTTGTGGGCAGTATCATAACATTTAAGGTTATAAGGATTTTTTATTACTAAATTGTTTTATTAACGATATTTGTCTTTCGAATAATTATCATTTGTGTATTTCCTCTTTCAATTTTTACCTTTTTATTGTAATAAAGAATTTTGCATTTCGAATAATTATCATTTAATATAATTGTTGTTTCGTTTAATTTTCATTAAAGCAATTTACAATTCGAATAAATGTTTTTCGAATAATTGTTTTCGAAGCATTATTTTCGGAAAATGTTTACATAATCAGGATGGATAATGGTTGACTATGGTCTTGGGAAGATTAAGCGTGAAATGGTCGCGGAAGCACCCACTCGGGAGCCTATTCCGTAAAGCTGCAGATCTCGGAAAGAAACTTGCCGAATGGAATGTTCTTCTTAACAATGGAATACGAAGTGAATGAGGATGATTCGCCGCTCTGTACGTGGGGGGGGCGTCACGAGTTACCGTTGTGAAGGTCTGAACTGGTCGGACTAAGGAAGGGTATTATGCTTGAATATTTGCCATGGAAATAGCAATAGAATACCGATAGGTGGGCGACGTTGCGTCTGTGGCGAAGGGTGATAAATAATTCATCGCCTGCAACTTCGCTTAAAAGTGTCTAATCTGTGTCGAAGCTCAAAAGAAAGGATTGGGTAGCCGCAGCCCAGATATAGTAGCAATACAGCCATTTTGTTCTGATCTGACACTTGAATGTAGTCTATCTTGACTCTCTAAAAATCCCTTTCCTTTGTTATCTGTGAGTTGCCATGCAACGATAACGGAGTGGTTTCCTGTTACACTATCCACGGTTTTGACTGCAGAGTTTTCCACCAAAGGTTAGAGAAACGAATTTACCCCGCTATTAAACCCACAGCTGCGGGGTGGGGAGAAGAGAAAAATTCTTGCCATTACTAACTGTATATAGTCATACTGTTCTCCGAGAGTATCATTGTAATCACAGCTCAATGTCAAAGGGCTTAATCATCATTAAGCTTAGTTTAATATAGAATAAGATCAGTTTGAGACACCTAGTGAGGATCGAATTTTAGATACAGACTACTAATCCTTTTTAAAATTATTGGTTAATCTAAACATTATTTTTCTAGCTGTCAGCGGAACTTTTAATCCTTTGCCGTTTCTCTTTGTTCTTGTTTCGCTATTCATTCACGTAATTACATTAAGTAGTTTACTCGTTGCTTTCCCCTGCTTCTCTTGCCTTCAAAATGTCCTCTAAGGGTTATAGATCCTTCAGCTTTTCTTATGATGAAAAAATGAAATTTCCTATTTTTCTTAAATCTTCTTCGTTGCTTATATATTATGTCCATGATGTTCTCAGCTGCCATTGTATGTCTTTTTAAAAAATACTGTTCAGCAAGTCGATAGTGCCACTAAGCTGCAAAGGTTTTCTGGGAGTGGAAGAGAATGAGAAGTCTTTAGGAAAATGGATTGGAAATCCAATCCTAAACAGTAAACAAAGGAAGAACCTCTACTATTGTTCAAAAGACGACAAAGATTCTTACTTTTTCATATTTTTTTTTTTTTTATTGTTTCTCTCAACGGTTATATTTTTTGATTTTTTTCTCTCTTTCGAAATAAGTGAATCTTTTTCCTTTTTCTTTTCCTTTTAACAAATCAATTTTTCTTTCTTTTTTTTCTTTTTCCATTGTTTTCGTTTTTTCTTTTTTTTAGTTCAAATTAACAAATTATTTTTATTCCTATTTTTTCTTTTACCTTTCTTTTCGTTTTTTTTTTCTTTTAGTATTTTTATTAATTTTTCCTTCTTTTTTTCTTCTTGCTTCGATTCGTTTTTCTTTCTTTTTCCTTTTTGTCTAATTTAGCAAATTATTTTTTCTTTCTTTTTCCTTTTTGTTTGATTTAGCAAATTAATTTTTCTTTTTCTTTTTTCTTTCTTTTCATTTTTCTTTCTTTTTTCTTTTTGTTTAATTTAACAAATCATTTTTCATTTTTCTTTCCCCTTTTTTCGTTTTTTCTTTTTGTTTAATTTAACAAAGTATTTTTTCTTTCTTTTTCCTTTCTTTTTCGTTTTTCTTTTTTATCATTTTTGCTTAATTTAACAAATTAATTTTTTCTTTCTTTTCATTCTCCTTTTTCGTTATTTTTCTTTTTCGAATGAAGCATGTACATTTACACCTAAATGTAAGGATTTGGGAAATTTTTAATGCAAACTGAGCGAGGGTCCTAATCTGCAAATTAATCTTTTTCCTTTTAAATCCTTTTCCTTTCTTTCGTTTTTAATTTTTCAATATCGGATTTCTCCATTTATTATCATTCCTTCTTTTATTATTTTAATTGAAATCATTTTTCTCCTTTTTCGGTTTTTCTTGTAGTTTATCTCATCTCTCCTTCCACCCCCACTTTCTCTATCTCTCTTTCACTCTCCCAGTTCTCCTTTAAAAAAAAACTTTCCTTTTTTTTTCCCATAATACTCTTTCTTTTTTTCTCTCCTCACACTCTTTCCTCCTCTCGTTTCACTTTTTACTTTTCCACCTTTAAACATCCCCTCTTTTGTTCGTTCTATCTTTCTTCCTTTTGATGGCGATTCGACATGAGAAACCGAACAAACAAGTTCGAATTCCAGTCAACTTAATTACGTTCATTTACGCGCAAATGCCATTGCTAAATTTATGTATCCAACTCTTCCCTCAGTTATGGGTTAAATAGAAGAATTTATATTTTTAAAAATCATTGTTATTCTAAAAAAAATATTTTTAATGCAAGATTCACACGCAAATAAAAATTATTACCATTCAGTACTTTGCTTCGGCTTTAAATAACTGGCAAAGCCATAAAATAGGAATCCATTAATCAATAAATTCTCCCAATTGAACAGCCTTTTCTTTAATATTTTTTCTCTTTTTTTTTTCCTTTACTCTTTCCGTTCTTTCCTCACCTCCTCTCTTTTAATTCTTTTCTTTTCATTTCTATTTATTTCTCTTTCATTATTTCTTTCTTTCCTGTATGTGGCCTTCGATTTCTCCATCTTTTTTTCCTTTATTCTTTTCCTTCCTCACCTCCTCTCTTTTAATTCTTTTCTTTTCTTTTCTATTTCTGTTTTTCTTTCTTTCTTTATCTCTTTCTTGCTTTCTTTCTTTCCTTTATGCGTCCATCGATCACTCCATTTTTTTTTTCCTTTACAATCTTCCTTCCTCACCTCTACTCTTTTATTTTAATTTTTATTTTTATATCTTTCTTTCTTTCGGTCTTTTATGTGTCCATTATTCTCTCTTTCTTTTTTCCTTTAGTCGTTTTCTTCCTCACCTCCCTTCTCTCAATTCTTTTCTTTTTATTTCTATTTGTTTGTTTGTTTGTTTGTTTGCTTGTTTCTTTCTTTCTTTCTTTCTTTCTTTCTTTCTTTCTTTCTTTTATGCGTCCATTGGCATATCCCACTTTTTTCCTTTACTTTTTTCCTTCCTTCCTCCCTTCGTTTAATTCTTTTCTTTCTTTCTTTCTTTCTTTCTTTCTTTCTTTCTTTCTTTCTTTCTTTCTTTCTTTCTTTCTTTTATGCGTCCATTGGCATATCCCACTTTTTTCTTTTTACTTTTTTCCTTCCTTCCTCCCTTCGTTTAATTCTTTTCTTTTACTTTCTTTCTTTCTTTCTTTTCTTTTTCTTTCTTTCTTTCTTTTATGCGTCCATTGGCATATCCCACTTTTCCTTTTTTTTCCTTTTCCTCCTTCGTTTAATTCTTTTCTTTCTTTCTTTCTTTTCTTTTTTCCTTTCTTTCTTTCTTTCTTTCTTTCTTTTATGCGTTTAATTCCACTTTTTCCTTTTACTTTTTTCCTTCTTTCCCTTCGTTTAATTCTTTTTCTTTCTTTCTTTCTTTCTTTCTTTCTTTCTTTCTTTCTTTTTATGCGTCCATTGGCATATCCACTTTTTCCTTTTTTTCCTTATCCCACTTTCTTTTCTTTCTTTTTTCTTTCTTTTTTCTTTTCTTTCTTTCTTTCTTTCTTTCTTTCTTTTATGTTTAATATCCCTTTTTTCCTTTTTTTTTTCCTTCCTTTCGTTTAATTCTTTTCTTTCTTTCTTTCTTTCTTTCTTTCTTTCTTTCTTTCTTTCTTTTATGCGTCCATTGACATATCCCACTTTTTTTTTCTTTTTACTTTTTTCCTTCCTCCCTCCCCACATTTAATTCTTTTCTTTTCTTTTCATTTCTTTCTTTCTTTTTCTTTTCTCCGTTCTTTTTTTTTTTTTTTATGCATTCATCGGTCTCTCTCCATCTGACGTCTCTCTGTCGCGGTTTTTAATCGAACCAAATTCTCACAGAAATTTTTCAATTTCCTTTTCTGTGCTTTGGGGAATAACGCGCGAAAATAATAAAATTGGATTAATTTGGAATTTTCAGCCACAGCAAACGGCAAAGGAAACAACATTTGAAATGGTTTTTCGGAAAGAATTTACGACTCCCGAATTCTCCAAGGCTCTAAATGTGTTAAATAAGTAAAACAGAACTTACACTTTATTTGCAAACAGATAAATATAATTAGAGTGGGGGGGGCGCTGGTTTACGATGGAAATTTCGTTTTCTCGTTCTTAACGGCTAATGCATTATTTTCCTTATTCTCTCCCCCTCCCCTCCTCCTCCCCACTCTCTCACTTTCTCTCTACGCATCTCTCAGCCTCTCATCATATTTCTCCCCTCTCTCCTCTTTTTCTGTCGCACCCCATCTCCTCCCTTCGATGTACACCTTCTCTGCTATCCCTCTCTCACATTTCTTTACGCCTTTTCGCTTACTGCATGCACACACACACACACACATATATATATATATATATATATATATATATATATATATATATATATATGACAAGTTTCAATACATACACACACATATATATATACACACATATATATATATACACACATATATATATATACATATATATGACAAGTTTCAATACGCACACACAAACACATATATGCATATGTATATATGACAAGTTTCAGTATACACATACACAAACACACACACACACACACACACACACACACATATATATATATATATATATATATATATATATATGATAATTTCCTACACACACATCTATATATATATGTGTTAAACTCTGTTGCAAAAAAATTTATCGCATGTATTTCAGCTTTTTCGTTCAGCTTTTGCTTGCTTCAATTCATTTATAGCGTAAGGACGGGTGTTCTGTTGTTTTTATGCACCCAGTCCCTTCAGGAAATATGTGATCATTGCTCTCCACAGCTGCCATCGATTCACATGAACTCGTAAAAAAGGTTACTCACTGTTTACCCTGCCTCTCTTTCCTTCAGTATGCCTTGTGGGTGTTAAAGTCTCTATGTTCTCTTTTCTCGTTATGCGCCCCAGAAGATTTCAATTCTATCGATCTGGTTGTGACTATCAGTATGCTTTAGTTCCTACTTCTCATAAGACATTTTCGTTGATCACATATTCTAACCATTGTATTCTTAGCATTCATCAGCAGATTCAAGTCCCTTCTTCATATGTGAGAAAATTGTCCAGCATTTATTACCATATAGGGGATTAAGCATTATATAGTAGTTCAACACTCTTTTCTTTGTGTCTAATGACACTTTTTCGATCTCTTAATACTATACTTAGTTTCTAGAAGACATTTTTCCTATCTCTAAGCATCTTCGGAGTCAGTGTCACATTTTTCCCTGTAGTCAAATTTCTAAACCTGCTCAATTCTGGTGTCTTCAATTCGTAGTCCACACCTTGCGTTGTTTCTTTTACTGACTATATTGTATTCTGTCTCCTTACAGTGAATAGTTAGTACTTTCTTCTTGCTTTCCTTTGTTACCTTTTCTTAAAGGTCTTTCAGTTTTCCTTCTGAAACAGTGTCATCCCTGTATGATAGCTTGTTAAGATTATGTCCGCTCATAATAAGTCCTGTTGGGTTTTGGGTAAACATGTTTTAAAATCCCCTGCCAGATGCTTGCCCTAATTTTTTTTTTATTTCAATGCATCATTCAAATGAAGCAGATATTCTTTATAGTGTCCGAGTTTCAGGAATTCGAAATAAAGAATTGTCTTTGAATTCCTTCAGACAAGTATAACTTTATTGCTCCAATAGATTTTGAAAGTTGTCATCACGATTTATTTTTTTTCATTTTGAACTTTCATAAATATAAATTCATTTTTCATCGCCAGATATTACTTTGTCCGTAATGATTTTCTTCAATGTTCTTGGAAGTCCCTCTGTAAGCCATATCCCTAGTCCCTGAAATTTCCTTAGATTTGGAAACGACCTACTACAGCTGACCCCGGCACAAATAATAAAGATATTATTAATTTCCTTAGTTCCTGAAATTTCTCTGTAGTTAGTAAAAAAAAAAACTTACTACAATTGACTGATCGCACAAGTAATATATATGTTACCAATTTCCTTCGTTCTTGAAATTTTTCTTTGGTTACGGTATGATCCAGTATAGTTGAGTGAGTGCACAATCAAAATATACGATTAATTATCCTAATTTTCTGAAACTTTTCTGACCTTTGTAAGCAATATACTACATTTCAGTGATTGCACAATTAATAATACACTAGTGAACCCGTGTCGACAAAAGCGACGGAAACTGTTAGAAAGTTTTGATACTGAGATGCAATGAAGCAAAAATCTTGAAACAATGTTTTGAGATTCAATAAAACAGAGATAAAGAATTCACAATTAATATAGAGGCCAATGAACCGTTCAAATAATTCGTTCCCCTTAGATTTTTTTTTTATATATGATTCATTGATTACTCCTGGTATTATGTAAATCGCTTTTTACTTAATATCTTTTCAGGTTAATGTTTTTATATTTAATATACTAGAAATATCTCTCGGAAGAAAATATTAATAACAGAACGACAAAGACGACGAGTAAAAAAAACATTTTAGACCAAGTTGAAGCAAGACGATAACTTGTTACAGAATGGTATCTGAGTACCTCATATGAAAGGCTTCAACAAATAAGATTGCAATCTAAGAAACATGGTGGTAAAGGAACTGATTAATTAAATGGTTCAATTCGCTCGGGAACTAATTTTGTTTAAATTCATATATTTTGTTTGTATAGATTATTAAAACGACTAAGAGAAGTAATCACTTATATATTTACAAACATAAGTTGATTTACCTCCCTTCCTATTATAAACTCGAAAGGAAATATATAAATAAAGACACGTTGATTATTAGTCTATGGTTTGATGATTAACTCCCCTAGTTTATGAAACTTTCCTCTACATACTACATTTGAGTAATTGCACCAGCAATGAAGATATGATTATGTTTTTTTTAAATAAAGTCCCATTATACTTTTGCAAAATATAAAGATAGGAAATTTTCCATCAATCTAATAACTATTCTGTGATCAGTATTTTAATCTTGGTGAATAATTTTGCAATCATTAAATCAAGAACATTTATATTCTACTATTCATGAAAATTAACAAGATAAGTTCTGTTCAAATGTCAAGCATGTAGGTTGCGTACATAATTTATACAATTTGTATAATTTTTTTTTTAAAGAACCACAAATTTTATACCTTGGTGTTCAAAAAAGTCGCCAAGTCATGTTTCACTTTATTACGTCCGTGCGCGAAGCATATAAAACAAGCAGTAAAGCGGAACACGTCGCTTTTCTCTTCTTTTCGCCACTGTGATAAATCACTTTACAAGACACAGCCACTTGGAGCCACCTTTTGTTGAATCCAAAATACTACATTTAAAGATTTTATAGTTTCACCTTTTTCGCACACATATTTAGTTGAATAAATCTTGTCTAACAAAAAGCAAATATATGTATTAGACATATATTGCTTAAAACAGTAGTTCTAAAACTTTTTTTTTTTTTAACCTGGGCCCCATTTTTTAAATGAAAATTTACTTGAGTTTCATCAAATGGCAGTTCGGGTGAAGAGGACCAAGCATCTCCACGGCAAAGAAGGTCCAGAAAGATGTTTAAAGCGAAATAATCGCGGATTCAAAGTCAGAACATTACTATTGATAACTCTCTCCTCCAATTTGCGGACACTAGTTACTATATTCTTAATACTTGATATAATTCAAACATATCACAATGGTAAAAGTAGTTAATAATTATTTGTAACTATTAATATTGGGACTCATGCATGCAATTACAATACATAATAATATTTTAAATTTTGAAATCATATTTATTTTCCGCATATGAATTTTTTTGAAACTGTTACTTGATCTCTAATCGTCTTTCTATCATCCCACCTCATCTGCTATCCTCGTGCCAATGACGTGCGCTGGACCATTTAAGAACCACTGGAGTATAATAACACAGAATTTTATCATAATTTGACCGTAATACGAACAACTCTTAAATTTACTTCCTATTAATAGAAATTTATTGAAATGTGTTAAAAAAATGCATTATGAATAATTTCTGCATTAATATCCAGGATAATTCTGTTAAATTATTGATTTACATTTTTTAGAGTCTGTCTATATTTCTGAGATGAGGTATTATGTACAGTATTTACATTATTCAGACTATTGTCCTCATCTTTGCCGCCATATTTGTCACAACGTTTCGGCCGTTGTACGCTCCGGACTTGCATTTTTTAATATATATTTTTAATATACTTCTTTAAGATCCTTATTTGAATATTAAAATATTATATGTGCTAAGTTTAAATAAGTGTTATTGTTGAATACATTTTCTTCTGTCATATCTTCTAAATGCTTAATAATCACAATTAATTGCAATCTTTAGAGTTTAAAGAAAATTTTTATTTTGATTATTTGAACTAAACGAGGAGTTAAATTAATGTAGCGTTCCCAACATTTTTTAACCATTTCACTCTAAGCAAGACAAGAAAGCCACTAAGATGCAAGGGGTTTACTGAATGAGAAAGAATAGGAGAAAAAAGAAAAAGTATTATTAAGGAGAGATAACAATAAATGAACAGGAGTTAAGAAGAGAAATGATAACGATTGATATTTCATTTAAACAATTTAAACTGATGTAATCTTTCAGGAACTTTCCCTAACCTTGAGTACA